TGTAAGGGCTGGACCGAGGAGGCAGAGGCAGAGGTGCTAGAGCAGAACTCCGTGGCGGAGCCTGCTTCACTGGCTGGCATGGGCAGGCCGGCAAGATACCAGCGGCAGTCCGAGGCGGTCCACCAGTCAACGGCATGGAAGGCGTGTCTGGATGCGCTGCAAATAGGACCAGATGGCGAGCACGATATGGCTGAGGCTGACTAGGCTCCGAAGGCGCACCTGAAGAGGGAGCAAAGCATCAGGTAGTCCATGCAGGGCAAACACGTGGGCATGTGTGCGTTGCAAGGGGGTCATATGAAGGGCACACTGGCGGCGGCACCGTGTGGTTTGGTACCTGGTGCAGAAGTATGGAGCAGGAGTAGGCGGAGCTGGCGGCCTGTGGGCGTCGACTGCGCAGCGTGGGCCTGCAGGGAGTGGTGGCAGCATCTGAGCTGCGTTGCTCAGGAGGTGCTGAGGCGGTGGGGCTTTGGGACGGAGTGCAGGCGTGTGCTGCTGTGCAGTGCTAGGCGTAGTGTGGTGCGCCTCGGCACGGATCTGGGCCAATGCAAAACTGTGAGGGTAGGCGTCATGGGCGGAAGCAGCGCCCGGGTCGGGCCCCGAGTCGCTGCTGTCTTCTGTTGTAGAGGAACTAGAGTCGGCAGGTTCGGAGTTCGGAACTGTCGAAACCACAACAACCGACCCAGCGATAGACGCAGCAGCGGCGGCCGGCGACTGGCATATGCAAATCAAGAGCATCGCAAGAAACACTTGAGAGCGCCCCCCAGCCGGGGCGTGGGGGTGCGAATCGCTCTGCAATCATTAGTACTACGATTTCTACTACAACCAAGACTATAACAGCCACAACTACTGCTGCTCATACTCCTACTCCTACTCCTGCTCCTGCTCCTGCTCCTACTCCTACTCCTACTCCTACTCCTCCTCCTCCTCCTACTCCTCCTCCTCCGCTTCTGCCTGCGCCTCCGCCTCCTACTACTACTACTACTACTACTACTACTACTACTACTACTACTACTACTACTTCTACTACTACTCCTACTACTGCCCTCAGGTGCCTGGTCTGACTGCACGTGTGAAGAGCCGAATTGCATGGAATTTGCAATGGATTCGTGGTTTCGTGTCAACAAGTGGAAAAGGTTATTTTTCGGACCACTACTGTTGGCAAGGGGAAAGACAAGATTTGGTATGCTTGGCTTGTCTCTTGGCTCTGGCAGTGAAGTTTAGGGTTAAGGGCCCTGGCAGTGAAGTTTCGGGTTAAGGGGCGATGCTTTGCTTGCTTGTATTGTGGCCCTGGCAATTCTTGTGGTTAAGGTCTCATGGCCCTGGCAGTGAGCTGCTTTGCTTGCTTGTCTCGTGGCCCTGGCAGTGAAGTTTAGGGTTAAGGGGAGATTCTGAGATGCTTTGCTTGCTTGTCATGGCCCTGGCTATGAAGTTTAGGGTAATGGGGAGATGCTTTGCTTGCTCGTCTCATGGCCCTGGCAGCGACGCTTAGGGATGTTTTGTTCTCTGCTTGTCGCTTGGCCTCTTCTGGGAAAAAAAGGCAGTAAGTGGCATGGCTACCTCAAGCCTAAATCCAAAACCCTAAACCTTAAACCTGAACCCTAAACCGTAAACCCTAAACCCTAAACCCTAAACTAACACGGACATTATTATCGCGCAGACATGGAAGCTTTGGCAACACGGACGTTATCATCGTGCGGACATGGATGCTGTGGTAACACGGACGTTATCATCGTGCGGACATGGATGCTCTGGTAATTAACACGGACGTTATCATCGTGCGGACATCATCGTGCAAACATGGATGTTCTGGTAATTAACACGGACGTTATCATCGTGCGGACATGGATGCTCTGGTAACACGGACGTTATCATCGTCCGGACATGGATGCTCTTAGAACTCAAACGTGACATGGATGCTCTGGTAACACGGACGTTATCATCGTGCGGACATGGATGCTCTGGTAAGACGGACGTTATCATCGTCCGGACATGGATGCTCTTATAACTCAAACGTTATCATAGTGCGGACATGGATGCTCTGGCAACACGGACATTATCATGGTGCGGACATGGATGCTCTGCCAGTCGCACGCCAGGAAGCCAAGAAACGTCGGAAAACCGAGGTTTTGGCATTTGATGTGCACGCATGCTGCGAAGTTGCAACGCACGTGATTTGCTGTGTCCATTCACACGCCATGCAGCCAGCAAGTGTCGTACCCGTTTAAAGCCCCTTTTTCACCGCATGTGTGCCTAGCTTGTTTCTGCCTTTCATGTTTTCGTCTTTGAATAACTTGCCCGAAAACCTTTCACGATGAGGTCTTTGGGCCCAAAAAACCTTAAAATACGAGTCCTTGAGCCTTAGGTAAAGCTACCGCCAGTGGCAGCTTTAGTTGAGCGGGGGCTTGCTATACACAAGTGCACTGCCATGCTTGGTCATGCTTGTGTGTTTTTTGAGTGCAACTAGACCAGCCGTGCTGCGAGCAATGTGAGGGACATGTGGCCTCGACATGAGCCAACCAGGGTTCTGAATTCTTTGGTTGCTGCTTCTCAACCTGCTGTTTCACACTAGCAGGCCTCTAGGTAGTGGCCCTTACTTGCGCACTGGGCATGTCCCAGCCAACCATTCATACAATGACTGATGTCTAGATCTGGACCGTAAAGGAGCGCATTACAGGGCTTGTCTTGTAAAGCGTTCTTTGGCAATCACACGTTCTTTGCTAATCTCAAGTCGGTTTCGACGTCAAAAAAATGTTTTGCCAATGCATGTTCTTGAGACATTGTGGACGCATGACCAAATTGTTTTTGTGTGATTTGGCAAAATGTGTGGATGATGGCATGTGACAAACATCCTGTCAAATTTGTTCCCTGTGGCACATCCGTGGCTCAGCGACATGGCAACGCTGCCGTGTCCAAAGAAATGAAGTGGCTACCATGTCCAGTTTCCAGGATGGGTGTGTCGGCATAACAGACCCAGACAGTGCTTCCGAATTTGGCCGGTGCGTGAAGCCAGGATGTGCAGAGCCGCACGTGTGGCAAGCTTGGTGATTGCTGGCTTCTCAGATCGTCAGTCAGCAGCATTGTGCGCAGCTTTTAAAGTCCGTGCATTTTGATTTACACACTCATTGCAGGGACTGCTTGTTAGTTTTGGGTGCAATCAATGTGGGTTGCTGCCATCATGTGTTACAAGCATGTCATATCAAGACAACAGTTGTGCATAATGTTGCGCCGGGCTTGTGAGATGAATGTGGTGTGCTGTCATGAAAGGCATTTGGAGGATTTGTCCATTGTGATGCCGTGAAAACGGCGGCAGTTCGCCGCATCCCGAGTTGCATGCCTTTGGTTTCAGAACTTTAGAAGCTTGTCGATGAAATTGCTGGGAGGCCAGTGCTTAGCCGTGGTTGTCATGGATCATGAATCATGAATGGAATGAAAATTGCGATAACGATGCCCATCGGCCATTTCGAGGTGCAGATGCATCTGCTGCAGGCCATAACATGTTTCCTGGCTAAGCTCTCCCAAAAGTCGAAGAACAAACAACTTGCAAGTGAGAGCTGCAGGGCCGCATCTTCTTTTGTTTCCCAATAAGCGCAAGCTTGGATGCACTTGCATGAGGCCAAGACTTGCATGTTGCCGATAGAGGCAGGTTGAACAATTTCATTGTGGAAGGCAGTCCCGTTCTCAAAGCTGTTGAGATGCTCGAGGACCTTGAGGATCGCTGGGCACCTCCTGATGTTCTGTTGTTGCATGGTGGAGTTTCTTGGGCCCCTGTTCAGTGTTGGGGATGGCGACTTGTGGCGAGAGAAAGGATGATACATTGAGATGCATGACAGACTGCGACCGTAGCTTTGCATAAGAGTCAAGGCAAGGCCACGCTTCCTGTAAGTCTTGGCACCTGATCAGAAAAAAGTCGTCGGCGCGGCGAAGACAGAAGAGGAGTCGTGACCTTCGTGGCACATGCATGTCGCGGCTATTGATCCAGGTCAGGCCCTGTGGTGTTAGGCCTCGCTGCGCATGGAACAGCTGTCAATTTCACGCGCTGCATGTGCAATGAGTACAGTGCCGCAAATCGCTGCTTCTTTGGCTTTCGCACATCGGACGCTTTGCAGCAGCTTGGAGATAAGCACAGTCGGCAAGCAACATTGTCCCCCCTGCGATGCTGAGGTCAACTTACCCATGGGATGCCACAACATGCCCTCACAATTACTTGGGCCTCCGTAGCACCAAGAAGTCACCTGCAGCTTTAGAAGGCAAACTTGAGCCATGAGTGAATGTGCCCGCTGCCATGTGGATTTCTACCACAATCCCGAGGTAACATGTGGTATGAGTGGTATGAATTGGTGCTTTCTATTTGTGGCCATGCGTGCGCAATCTGTCAACATTCTTACTCGCTCCTGCCAGTCGCATCAATATCGTCGCATTGGCTGCGAGTTCGGTGCGCTGTCTACTCTTGCTTTAATACATCCAAAATACTTCCAGTAGAGGGTGTACAACTCACCAAGCACCTAATTCTGAGGGCTGCGCAAAATTGCTCTTGATCATCTGCTTGGGATGAATGAGAACGACCCTGGACCAGGTCCGTGTCTTGTTCTCTGCCATCTGTGAGCATCGAATTTGTGAACGATGCTTACCCCAGGTGAGCGACTGTGTGGTTTTGTCAGAGCACCTCTTTCTGAGTTGTAACACAGCTTGTTGGCTTGAGCTTTCACGAGACAGGGGCTGACAAAACTCAAGTTGACACGAGTTTATCATTTGTGGAGAAGCACGTTGTCGCGCTTATGCAGGAATCTACGGGTTGAGTTCGTAGTATCTCAAAGTTCGCATTAGGAGTTCTTCATGCTGTGTCAGGCCCTTCGAGCCAAGAACTGCCCAGGGTGCGGCCTAGCTCTGAGGCCAGAGGATGTTTAAGCATCTGGAACCCAACAACGCCAAATTGTGCATCGTCATTATGCTGTGCGAAGTTCTTGCAAAGTCTTCCCGGCAGGCATGAAGACTTCTCCGAGATGCCTCGAGAGTGCCGCGAGGTCGATCGCGAGCTGAAGGCGAACTATGGAACTCTGTTTGTTTCCATTGCCTACCATGCTGAATGAACAAGCATGGGATTTGTTTGCTCTGCTCGCATGTACATATTCGTTTTTGTTGCTGCTGTGACTCATCTTTTCTCATGTTTGCACACTCACCAAAAGAACTTGGCCGCAGTCTGATTGCGCCTTCTTGACCAAACCCCCCTGCCCACTCTCGACTTGTCCGTGTTCTATCTATGTCAGTCACACCTAGCCGACCTGGCATCGCACTGGCTCAGGTGCGTAGACAGGTTCGTGAGATTTATTGCAAGACGGAGCAAGACTTTGCGTCTGGCAATGAGTGGGATGAGTGTCGTGCAGCAAGGAGAATGGGCAGCTCAGGGTTGATGAGCGCACATCTGAATTTGTTTGGATTGGTGCGTGTTTGCTGTCCCAACGTGGTTGATCAAGAAATCGCATGTCTGTGCTCGAGCACTCTGGGTTGTCAAGGGCGGGACGCCTGCCCATCTGCGCAAAGGTATTTGCTCTTGCGAGAGGACATCATCTACAAGCTCGTGAATGGATCCAAAGAAGAGGTCATCGCATGTGCAGCGTTAAAGACAGTATTTCTATGTACTGTACGTATGGTGCACCATTCATTGACTTTATGAGGTATGAGAGTGACATGATGAGTGTCTCGATGGAGTTGCTCATTGCTTGATAAGACCATTATGCATAGGAGCTCATGCTGAGCAAGTTTTTGGCACCTCGAGAATGGCTTGTGTCTGACGTCGTCATTGCTCCGTTCTGCCTTTGAAGCCCCTCATTCATCATGTCGTGAGGCGGTTATTACCTCCCAAAAAGCCGCCGGTCGCTCATAGCAGAAACCCTTTGAATCACAAGAGGTCTAGCCTCGAAATTTCATTCTTTGTGTGTCCGTCACCTCAGTACTCGGCAAGGATATTTGCGTTCTCTTCCGACACTTTGTCGTCGGTCCTTTGCTTTTGATAATCTGATTTTGTGGAGGTTTCGATAGGCAGAGAATAAATGTTATGCTCATATCAGGAATGTGGGAAGGGGTACCCCTCCAAAGCGATACTCTCATTTCTGAGCGGGGCAAAAGCCAAAAGTCCTGTAGCGTACTAGGTGCCAGAAGCCACATTTTATTGACATGTCCAGAACGAAGAATTCTTCGGGCTGTTCAGATATGTCCCTAGAAGGTCCGCTGCTCATGCCACGGTTTCTTTTACCCGGTCAGTCTACCTGGACCCTAGCCCCCTGAGATTGATGTGGGAATGGAAACTTGAACACCTGTTTTGGGTGTCTGTTGGGTGTCTTGAGACGGAATTGGGTCGGAAGGAGCTGTGTTTGAAGAGCAGGGAAGGAAGATTGCTAGAGGCCCAGCTGTAGGGAGAAGGCAGCCTCGGTACAGGTACATGACACCTGGCGCCAAATTGAGCGCTACAAGGCCAGGGTTGATCTGTAGCCTGCAAGATCCATGGAGCAAAGCAACGCAGCAGGACTTGGCTGAGGTTCCACACAAACTGAGCATTCTTTTCTTGGGAGATGTGGACACGCAGCCATCGTTCGCGATCCAGGCGCAAAATGCCGAAAGCATTCGGCAGACGCAGCGCATGCGCCCGAAGAAGGCAAGGCTACCTGCTTGACAATCCGAATTCAAAGCCGAACTGCAATATTCCTCGCCGGCGGCCCCTTTTTTAACCAGCTAGCTGTGGGACGTGCAGTTGTGCCTGTCGTTGGCAAGGTGCTGGAAAAGGTGGCGGCTGTCATCAAGTCCGAAGGCTCTTCAGCTCGGTGGACTTGTGCAACGCTGTGAACTGCCGCGTCTGGCAAAACATGTAGAAAGCTGGAGGCTTCGTGCTAGACGAGGTAGCATTGCGATGTCAATGTGAGTTTTGACAACAACGCAGATATGCGAAAGAGGCAACTTTGCCAGCCGGGTGAACGCAGACTGGCTGGACCGCATGGTGCTGGCCCCCAATCACCCTTTCCAGGAGTGACTAACCGAACTAACCGTGAGGAACCTGTTTGGACTCCGGACTTGATGTGGTGCAGCAGCAATCAGCTGAGATCGCGGCCTGGCCGGGCTTACAATCATGTTGTTCTCTTTGACCAAGAGAGGCAGCTCGTGACATCACATGGGAGGAGCACTATGAGACTCTTCTCGGGGACCTTCCTCGAAGTCCAGATGCAAGTGCAGCTCTTACTGCTTGATGTTGTTTCTGACTGAATCTTCTGCTGCTTTGCTACTGGCAGTAAGGCCGACAAGCGTAGAGAAAAGCCAGCACTATGATTCTATCCAGGAGTGAGGGGTGTGTCCGGATTGAACAGCTAACGCATGAGGGGAACGGGGAGAGGGGACAAGGGAGGGGAAAGGGGCGGGAGAGGGGCGGGAGAGGGGCACGGGAGAGGGAGAGGCAGGGGGAGAGGGGACTTTAAAATTGAAAGGTTCGCGGGGATTTGGGTGGGCCGGCAGAGGTTCTGAGGTATCTGGAGGCTACCATCTGGCTTCCTGAATTTACTGGTTTGTCGGCGTTATTAGGCATCTGGGATCTGCAAGGGGAAAATGCATGAAAATCTGGGGGCTGAGGTAGGCGTGCATTGGCTTGCACTACCATTGTCAGGGAATCTCTCTTTACTTATGTTTATTGCGGTAGGCTCGCTTGTTGTGTGTCTACCCGAAGCCTGTGTGTGTTTTGATCGTAATTGCGCTAGCCGCTAGTCGCTGGTCGCATCTCGCCTGGTGCAGTTGTAACATATTTTGCGTAATTACGTCAGATGAAATTTTTTTTCACCGCTATCAATTCCTTGAGTGTTGAGTTTGCTAAGGCCTGGCCACAGCTGTGGCCCCTGCATCGCCTCTCACACCTCAGCCACTGATGGCGGGTACCAAAGGGGTCCCCAGCTGAGCCGTCTCCAGACACATTCCCAATTGTGAATGGCAAGCTTTCTAGTGTACCTCAGCTGTGCGTGCCGCACCAATCCAAGCAACCCGTAGTGTCATTTGTTGGTGCCCTTCAAACAATATGTGCTCATTCCCTTTTTTTTGTCATCATGGACCAGCCACAGCCAGTTTTGTCCCAGCCGGCACGTCAGCACCGCCAATACCGGCCAATCATTCATATGCTGCCGTGTGGAGGATTGAAGATAGGTTTAGTTGCCCACAAGGTTGTCATGACAAGGAAGGCAGGGGACGATGGTAATAAATGGACTCGTGACCGGCTGTGCAGGATGCTGCTCGGCAGTGCAGTGGTGGTGGCCAGCTGTCAGGCTTGAGCTCATTCCTGAGAGGCGTTGCTGCTTCTGAGTTGCCAAATCTGTTGCATCGTATGCAACCAAGGCGAAAAAAAGGCGAACCTCGGATTGCACAGACGGCTTCATGCCCAGGTTCGTGCCATGTGCCTGTAAGGATTATGTAAGATTATGTAAGTGAGAGAAAAACACGGTGGCACCCAAAGTCATGATCTTGCTCCTGGTTCTGGAATGCTGGCCGGAATCAGCGTGAAGCCACAGGAAGGACTGTTGTGGACTTTGCAGTGTTTCCATGCGTTGCCCGTAGGTGAAGCAACGTGGTATGAAACCACTTCGTCTGGGATTGCCGAGCATCGCTTTCTTGCTGCTTCCTTAATTGTAAACGCTTGCGCGCGCCGCCTCGGCAGCCGGGCCCAGGACGGGAAAGGAGGGAAGAGGGTTTCGCAAAAAAAAGGGAGGAAGGGCAGCGGGGTTAAAGGGGGGGGGGGGGGGGGGGGGGGGGGAGGGGGGGGGAGGGGGAGGGGGGGGGGGGGGAGGGGAGGAGGGGGGGGGGGGTTTTGCCTGTAGGAGGTCCTCTATATACCTCAGCCACCGCAGCGGGCGGCCGTGCGCGCGCGAACAGGCGCTGGGCGGGTGCGCGAGGGTGCGTGCGCGGGCCTGAGCGAGCGCGCGTGCGTGCGCTCGCGTGCGCGCGCAGGCGCGCGCGCCGCGTGCGCGTGCGGGAGCGCGCGTGGGTACGCTGGAAAACAAGCACAACTAAGCGCCGGGCGCGTGAGTCGTGAATGTCGTGGCGGGCTCACGGCAAGGTCGGAGCGGGTCTCTTCATGACGGCATCGGTTTGCAGCTCCTCCAAGCGATTGGGGGGGGTCCCACAGGGCGGGGGGGGGGGGTGGCGTCAGGGGGAAGGGTTGGGTCAGGGGAAAGGAGGCCCGATCCGGGTCTGCTTGTTCCAGACGCTTCTCGGCAGGAAGCCGAGGTGAACTTCTGAAATTGTGCTGAAATTCAAGGAGACACTTCTTCTTCGCAGACCTGGCCAGTGGCGTAAAACGCTCCTAGCTCAAGGGTCTGCTCAAGGGTCCTCCTCAAAGGGTCATACGGCAACAATTCAGATAGCGACCGGTGTGCGGCGCAATCCGTATCCGCCTTTCGTCAGTTGATGCCTTGCCAATGCTTCCGATGTTCAACCAGTTTGAGCATGCCATAGGCCACAGCGTTTTGGTCTTGCGGCCACCTGCCCTGACAGGGCGTTGGCAATATGACATGATGTTGTGATTTTGGACCATCCAAGGCTCAATGGTTCCGATGTCAAGTGCATGATTAATCATGATGAGGCTACGCTTGGTGGGAGATGTTGCAGAATGCTCTGTCAAAATCCACGTCACACTCAAAAGATGCTGCTAGGCAACGTCCGCGTCCTTGCCAAGGGCAGATGTGGCAGATGCTGCGTGCAGGGGGAATTAAAAGAGCTGCCACGCACATTGAAATGGACTGGGCTAAGAATGGCCTCTGCTCAAGCTTAAGCTAGTTCAGGTACTGGAAGTACACCATGTGGTGCCAAAATGAGTCACAGGCCAGTGAGGGAGGGTTAACGGGGGAGGGCACGTGGCTGCTATCTTATCGGGCCGATCTTGCAAGCAACTGTGGGACTCATTCAAATTATAATAATATTTACAAGTCTGGTTGATGTTCTGATGCCATGATATGCCTTGTACGCCGATGTGCAGGCCACGCAGTTTCAAATGACTGCGAATGAGCAGAAGAAGGTGGGCAGTTGTTGCCGAGAGCTAGCATTCGCGATGGATGACCGTACTGCGGAACTGCAGTGACACGTCGACTTGGTCATGAGATGCACGGAGTACAACGAATGATTATTCATCACGCCGAGTAGGACTACAAACAAGTGGAACAACTGAAACTCTGAGGAGATGCTCACTGCTGACATCGCAAAAGCCGCTGCTGCGATCACTTCAGCAGCTCTGCACCTCGCGGAGCCTTGCTCTGCACAGCGGTAGTGATGCAATGTAAAAATGATGGATGCAGCCTCCTCAGTCTTAGAAGTAGCTTAGAAGTCGATGCCCTGGAGAATGGAGTAGACGACAGGGCCCATCAAAGCGCAGGACATCGCGCAGTACGAGTCCACGGACGAAGCTGACTTAAAGGCGTGCGCTTGTCTGGCTTGAAACTTGTCTCTTCACGGCAGTTCCCAGAGCCTTATTTAAGCCGTATCCGTCATGTAACCTGTTCTTAAGTTCTGAAGTGTTTTAACGACGAACAAGACAATGAGATGGTTCCCATCGTGCCTGGCATTGCTCAGACATCTGGGTAAAGGGTCGCTGGAGGTGGGTTGTCGGGTATCCGTCGAGGGGGCAAGCTCGCGAACAAGTTCACCCGCCATTCTGATACGTGCAGCAGGCAGCAACTTTGCTCAGGGAGAAGGAGGCCGCAGATTTCAAGGCAAGCATGGTGCCCCGAGTCGGTATGTGAGGTCAGCGAGGCTAGGTGAGAAGCAACATACACCTTGTTTCATCAGAGGCCCTGGAGTTGGAGCTTGTGGAAGGCATCCGAACCACCCAGGCGGCACAAACAAAGCTGGAGCAGGCCGAGATTTGGTAAATGCAATGCGGCCTTTTTGCAACCTGTCGTCCCTTGTGCGAGCTGGTTGGGATCTGTGTGGCTATGTTTCCCCGATCAGGACATCGTCACAGCAGGTGGCAATGTTGCCAAGAAGGGAGCCAGAAACTTCAATTTGTCATGGCTTTGACCATGCACAGTGCTCTGTGATGTGTCGCAAGTGGGGGTATGTTTATGACATTTTTGCAAGCAATCCTTGTAATTATCGTCTGAAAGTATTTATTTTTTAGGGTTCGGGATACGATCCCAAAGTACAACTACAGTTTCATATACGATCTTAAAGTAGGGTTCTGGATATGGTGCCAACTGCAACTACATTTTCATACGACCTGGTTCGGAGACCGTGCTGGAATCGGAACCGGAATCGTACTTGGAATCGTACTTGGAATCGTACTTGGAATTGTACCTGAAATTGTACTTCCCCTTGCAGAAGTACGATTTCAGGTACGATTCCAAGTACGATTCCAGTACTTGGAATCGTACTTGGAATCGTACTTGGACTCGCGCTTGGAATCGTACCTGAAATTGTACTTTCCCTTGCAAAAGTACGATTTCAGGTAGGATTCCAAGTGCGATTCCAAGTACGATTGAAATCGTACTTGGAATCGTACTTGGAATCGTACTTGGAACCGTACTTGGAACTGTACCTGAAATTTGTACTTTCCCTGGCAAAAGTACGATTTCAGGTACGATTCCAAGTACGATTCCAGTACTTGGAATCGTACTTGGAATCGTACTTGGACTCGCACTTGGAATGGTACCTGAAATTGTACTTTCCCTTGCAAAAGCACGATTTCAGGTAGGATTCCAAGTACTTGGAACCGTACTTGGAATCGTACCGGAAATTTGTACTTTCCCTTGCAACAGTACGATTTCAGGTACGATTCCAAGTACGATTCCAGTACATGGAATCGTACTTGGAATCGTACTTGGACTCGCACTTGGACTCGCACTTGGAATCGTACCTGAAATTGTACTTTCCCTTGCAAAAGTACGATTTCAGGTAGGATTCCAAGTACGATTCCAAGTACGATTGAAATCGTACTTGGAATCGTACTTGGAACCGTACTTGGAATCGTAGCTGAAATTTGTACTTTACCTTGCAAAAGTACGATTTCAGGTACGATTCCAAGTACGATTCCAGTACTTGGAATCGTACTTGGAATCGTACTTGGACTCGCACGTGGAATTGTACCTGAAATTGTACTTTCCCTTGCAAAAGTACGATTTCAGGTACGATTCCAAGCCGATTACATGTTGAAGTCGTAGATGCACTTGTACCCGACTCGATATTGTACTTCGAAACCGTTGGTATTCAGAATCGTATACGACATTGTACTTTGAAGTCGTAGTGGAATTTGCACTTGTACTCAGAATTGTATGCGGTAGTGTACTTTGAAAACGTACTGCAAACTGTACTTGTACTTTGCAAGTGTACTTGAAACCATACTTAAACCCTAAAAATAAATAATCCTTGATTTACAAGGTTTGGTTGTCCAAAAATGTCATAAGGGTATGTGGTAGAGAAGTGGTGCCCATGACCAGGCAACAGTGTTGCAGTTTGTACACACACACACACACACTGGAGAGTTCCTCTTTTCGAGTCAACATCAGCTGCGAAGCTCCACTCCCTGGTTGGTGATTTGTCGGGCTATGTCCATCATGTTTACACCCGAGGCTTTCCTGCAGACACCACCGCGGCCCAGTAAGGCCTGGGTCCAGGGCTGTTGACACACACTTTGACAATACCTGAGAAGATAGGTTGCTTCATTTAGCAGGAGAGGCACACACACACAGACGGACTCGCACACGCACGCTCATGAAGCCACAGGGGTAGTAAGTCGATTGAATGCAAGATCCAATTGACCCAGCTTTTCTATCCTGTCGAAGCCTGACAGTCACGGTGCATGTATGTCCATGTGGTCGACATCATGGTCTTGCCAGCAATGTTATCCAAATGCCTGAAATCCGACAGGCAATGGAGGCTTTCAGTGACGTTATGGTGGCTTCTGAACTGCAACAAGTACAAGAAGTAAAAGCTTGCAAAGCTTGTCAGCTGGTCAGTGATTTGTAAGTTGTCAAGATGTTTCGAGCATGCTAGGATTAAGTTCAGAATTTATTGTCTCCTTCGATTTCTGAAGTTGTGGCAACTTCGTTTTCGCCAAGTTCATGCAGATTTCCTCTTGAGCTCGGGCTGCACCCTGACATTGTTACTTGAGGAGCTCACGAATGCAGCTGCCTTGTCAGCAGTTGAGGACATGAAGCAGTGCGCATCCGCCATGTGTGCAGTCCAGGGCTGAACACTGGCAATCTCAACAGGTACCCCTCCCTGCTCGAGCAGGCCGAGGCTAAACAAGTAGCCCTGGCTCAGCGCAGGGCCTGGTGCTCAGACGTACACAGTTGCACATGGCAACGCGTCATGTTCAGGGCAGCAGCGTGCTTGTCTTGTAGGTGTTGCAAGTGCTTGCGAGCGCAGCTTGGTGCTGGTGTAGGGTTCTGTGAAACCATCCCCGTGGGACTCTGCTGCTGTGGGCCGACGTTCGGGCGAGCGCCAAGTTCTACCAGCGAAGACCCCAAGCAGAAAGTGTCGAACCGGAGCGATTCAAGTTGGAACGCTGTGTCTAACAAAGCAGGAAGACAGCAAGCTATGCACGGGCATTGATTCTCCTGCTCCCCACTGCGTGTGCCGGCTGGCGCACACTCTGCGCCCGCACGCGCGGGGCAGAGAACCCAAGTCGAGCGCGGGCCGTGCTACAAACAAGTGCGACGCAGGTCGGAAAAGACTCCCCGAGTCAGAAATCTGGGGGTTCCGAGTCGGAAGATGGAGAAAGCCGAGTCAGAAAAACCAGGCCGAACACAACAACAGGCCGATTTAGGGTTGTGAGGGTTAAGGATTTTAGGGTTTAAGGTTTTCCGGGTTGTTTTTTTTACGCTTGCGAGGAGCGGGCATTAGCTCGTCTTAGCTTGGGCACGCGCAGAGGACGAACGTGAGGTCGAGACATTCCGCCGCGTCCTGGAGCGCGCAGGAGAAATCTCCGGTGATGCGCCGGAAGACGTCTTTCAGTCGGAGAGGAGGCGACAGCAAACACCATCCGGCCACCCCCGAGAAGACGGTAAGGTGTTGGAGAGACTGATGGATTGCAGGTTGCACGACGAGAAGTGCTGATCCGGGCTCGGGCCGGTGACGGGACGGACTACGGTTTGGTTCATGGAAAGGGCGGTGCCAAACCAACCCCGTAGGTATGCGCCTGCAGTCGTTGTTTCACGTGTGAAACTATGCTTGAACTTGCTTGACCGAGCGAAGCCTGAGCCCAGTGCTCACAATCGGATTTGCACTTTCGCCGAGCTCGAAAGCATGGTCTGGGGTGTCGGCTTTCAGTGCACATTGCCCATTGCCTGTAGTGTGATTTCTTGCGTGTTGTTTGCACATGGATCCAGATTTTCAGGTCGACTCTCAGCTTGAGCTGGGCACAGAGCCGAAGAAGGATGGCATTGCAAGTTACATGTTTTTTGTAGATCAGTGAATAGATGCAGTATGAGTGGTGTTGCAGCATCGTGCATCGATGTGTGAGACGCAGCTTGCGGTATATCTGTTTCGTGTTGATATCCTCTACCTGAATGGTCGCTTGAGATGCTACATGTATGTTGCAACCATGTTTGACCATGCTTGGCCGCGCTTGGCTCTGTTCCCTCGATTCGTAGGATGTCAAACACATGGAACGAACTCACCAACATGTCACACATTTGTTTGCCAGTTCCAGCGTGGCTGTGTTGCACATGTTGCACAGACTTGAACGACCCATATAGCGCAAGCATCAAGTCAAAGCCCAGCCATGTTTGATTGTTGCATGGATCCTGGCGATCCAAACAAAGAACAAAACGAGGCGCGGACTCACAGAACGAAACAGTTGTGGGTCACTGACCCTTGTATTTTTGCGGGAGGTTGTCGCGAATCATGCCAGCCACCTCGGGGCAAACGATCCGCAGGGTGATGAGTCGACGACTTTTACCCCAAGGACTGGTGGAGTGATACACGGCTGGAAGCAGGGAACGAAGGGGAGAAGATACCAACACATGCCCCAATGTCAGCTTGAGCCTCGCCAGGATGCTTGCAACAAAAAAACGACCGTCGATAAAGTCCGCTGGTCAGGCGGTCTGCCTATCCGCATGAGGGTCGGTGCTCGCTTGCCCAAGACTTCTGCAGCAGCATGCAGCAAGTGATCGTTCTCGTCGTCGCACCAACTTTTGGGAGCAGGGCAAGAAAGAAGTCCATGAGGTTCATGATCCTTGGCTTTAAAGTTGGCTGTTTTGCAGAGCGACATTCGGGTTGCTAGTTCACTGGCATGCCTAAGTCAGTTGACATGTGCGGAGGACTCGCCCCCAGCCATCAGGTGTGCCTCTTTGAGATTTGAGATTTGCTTATACGTTCATTCCAACACCCCTCAGGAAAACACTGCCGAGCATCTTGAATGGCCGGTAGCTTACATCGCATCTTTGGTTGTGCATCGGGCATCCTCGTGGTGGGAGACGCTGCAAAACTTTCTCTTAGTGCTTCAGCATGCTTTAGTGAACTTTAGTGCAGCAAGTTCTTTCCAAAGCCTGCTTTTTAACGCCAGGCTGAACATGTCTTTGAAGCATCTGTGGCCAGAGCTGAGTGAGGCTGGGATGTACAATTTTCGTTTTTGTTCGGTACGTAACTGTGCGATGAACTGGCTGGACAGTTTGATGTTCCACGGTCTCGGGCTGTGTCTGTTTCTGTAGACACCCTCTTGCTGTGGGCATGTAGTGTGCTTGTTGTGCAGAGGAGGAGGTTCGGTATGTCGCCGCAGAGTTGTGCTTTCCCAACAGCTTCCAGAATTGTTCGTGTTGACAGCAAAGGCATTCCTAACTTACTTCAATGTTGGAAACCGTTAGGCCCGTATCGGATGCATGCACTTACACACGGGCGAGTAGATACTAAAATTCAGGGTCCAGCATGCATGTGCGAGATAGCGGGAACAGAGCCACAAAACCGAGTGCAAACACGGGAACCCCTAAACCCCAAACTTTAAAACCCTCAAAAGCAAACTCAGACTTAGAAAAACCCTTCGCTTGAAAATCCAAAGCCACACTCCGCCACCGCCACACCTTTGACTGCACGCAGCACTCACCCTGCACCTCCTCCACCTCTTGGCATGTCTTTTTTTGCCCCATATTTACACCCCCTAAGCAACCTGTGGCTGCAATAAGCCGCCAAAGCCCCAAGTTCCGTACCAAGTTCCTCCTTTTCGATCTTTCCCTACAAGCTGCTACAACTGCAGGTGGTCAATCTGAGAGGAAAGCCTCAGGGTGGCAGCTGCCGTACGGGTCAAATAAGACTCCTAGAGGTAACGTATGAAGGCAACGTAGGTTTGAACTCAGAGCTTTTTTTCTGACCATCGCAGGTTAGGCTCGATTGCTTTTAAGCCGTGTGCAGGCTGCATCCGCGGTTGCGTACAGCTGCTTGGCGGAAGAATTCTCTGCGGGGCTGTTCTGTCTGTGTCGTCAGCAAGTGCAACATGGTGTGTTCGAGAACGGCACAACCTGTAACAGTGCTGCAGATGATGGTAAGGCAAGATTCTGCCAATCCTGCGGCAGAAGCTTCTAGCAAAGGCTGGTGGGAAGCCTGTACAGACTGCTGATAAGGTTGCGTTTGTGGCAGTCGTGTCCCATTGATGTGATGCTCGCCGTTCTAAGGCTCGTTAGTAACGTTAGTATGAACAGTCCAAACACTCATGCCTCTGCTGCGGTGCAGACCTTTAGCTCGAAACGGAGTATTTTTGATGGTTTGCTGCTTCCGGTTGTCGTGCACCTCTGCAGGGCAAAGGGAAAATCACCGATGCCTCACGGACTGCTTTCAGTTTGTTCAATTGAAATCGTGCCTCGTGCGCTCAGCATCATTGGTTGAGCCTTCTGAACACAGATCTCGTTGATTCCCTGTGCAGCAGCTCCTTTTGTGAGAATATCGCGATATGTTTTTCTGATATCCCAGGTGAATTTCTCTAGCTTCTCACTGGGCTCTGTGCCGGTGATCTTGGGACCAGTGCAGGCCGGATGTCAGTAATTGCTTTCATGGCAGCCGGAGAAGTTACAGCGGAGCAACCCGATAGAGCAGCAGATAGAGCACCACATAGAGTCATAGAGCATGAGGCGCAGGCAGCACCCACATCCACAATCTTCACGCAATGCCTGCTTCTGCTGCATTTGAGCACTTCATATTTTGATCTTGATGCAGCTGGAAGCCAGGTTTCGAGAATGCCCAGAGGTTCTGTCCGTATCCGAATGAGATTAGATTCTTGGACGAGATTCCAGCTCTGGCGAGGTTGAGGCTTCTTTTACGGTTACTGTTAGGTTCTTCGTGACGCTGTTGAAGCCTGTTTGATCCATGAAGAAATGGTCACACCTTTCCTGTCTGAATTGCCTGACTGTTTGGCTGGTACATGATTGGAAGGAGTATGCTGACAGGTTCTTTCACGCCACTCACCCACTCACTCACCCACCCACCCACCCATTCACCCACCGACCCACCCACACACACACACACACCTTGTTGCAGCCATTGGCAGCAAGGACTATGCCTCTGACATGAAGGTGGAAGTCAGTTTAGTCACTCTGCTGCAGCCTATGCTTGTTCCTTTTGAATGATTGGGTCAGTGATTGGGCACAGCATGCTTCTTAAATACTCCTATTATTCCCTAATGTTTCTTGTCCGTGCATGTTTCTGCGAGTGCTCGGCTGAAGCATCTCTCACAGGTGTGATCTTGAAAGGGAGCCTTGTCCTAGACAGGAGAATCGCTCTCTGGTAGCTTTGGGTCCTACCTTGGAGTGATGAAAGCCAGTTCTCATACTTTCCCTTCTCCAGTTTCACGCGTGCTTTGTGACATTCTCAGGACAGCACGCTCGGTGGCTTGGCGGCAAAAGGTCTGTCCGATCGAACAATGGCCCCGCAAAGAATTGTGACTTCCACCTAAGTTAAACGGTTTCGGTTTGTGAGTGTTTTTTTTGTCGATTTCCTGTGCACCTGAACTCCGTCCAGACATGTTCGTATCATGTTCGTTCAATCTCATCCAGTATTAAGATATCCTTTGACAAAGCACCCCTTGCCTTGTTGCCCGTTGCAGTGCCACTTCCATGCACTCACTTAACTGTTGATCTTTGCCGCAAGGGCACCTCAAGATAGAGTGAGCGTGTTGTCCCGGTAGAGACGGAGTTCCGGAGACTCTTGCCACACTTGAGCAGTGCAGATGCAACCTCTGAGGTAAGTGGACGTTTGGCATGAAAGACTTCAGGCCTCCTCGATGCAATGCGAGCGTTGCACACAAGCGCGTAAACATTCCGAAATAGCATGGGTTCCCATGGCTTAGCAGCACTTACCAGCCATTGACAGCATGTGCAATGCCAGGATACTTGGCCAGCTTGTCCTTCGTATTCGCAGACGACTCAGAATTCAGTGTGAATGCGCGCCATTGGAACGTATCTCCGGTCTGTGCATCAGACGAGTCAAGACATGCCTGTACCGCGCTGCACTGTTCCACGATTTGTCACTTCTTTCAGTCAGTTGCTTCGCCACTCCGTGCGCAAGGCCCTCACATACCCGATGCTCCCGGGACTGGTGGCGTGTCAATCTTCTTCGTAGATCCGCACCTCGGCTTGCGCTGCTTGCGCTCTGTGTTTCTGTTTCTTCAAGCGGCCGGTGTGCTTGTGTGCTTGTGTGCTTGTGTGCTTGTGTGCTTGTGTGCTTGTGTGCTTGTGTGCTTGTGTGCTTGTGTGCTTGTGTGCTTGTGTGCTTGTGTGCTTGTGTGCTTGTGTGCTTGTGTGCTTGTGTGCTTGTGTGCTGGTGTGCTTGTGTGCTTGTGTGCTTGTGTGCTTGTGTGCTTGTGTGCTTGTGTGCTTGTGTGCTTGTGTGCTTGTGTGCTTGTGTGCTTGTGTGTGTGTGTGCTATCAATGTCTTGTTTGATCTACACCTTCCAACAAGTTGAGGCCAAAGGTGGACTTCAAGTTCTCGGGAGACATGCAGATTGGCAACTTTCCCTTTATCAAGGCCGCAGACTGAACCTGTGATACAGTGGCAGCGAATCAACCTGTAAGCTTGAAGCCTCTGAGATTCATGCACCTCGATGCCCAACCTGCATGCGATGCATGTGTTCTAGTGGATCTGTCGCAGGAAATTATGCGCCAGCTCGTGGACGCATTGGTCGCTGATATGCTACTCAGATGCAAGAACGGATTGCGACAGCAGAGTCAGCGATTGGGCTTACGTTCTCAAGGTTTGTGCTGCCCAATGTGGCAACGCAGCATATGAGCTTGCATGTCTGGGCCTCAGCCCGTGGATGGAGGCTTCTCTTCTCCGAAGTTTAATCTGACCATGCGGTTGTTACGCTAATGTTGCAAGAGACGTGCATGTAACGAACGCAACATCCTAGCTTGAGTATGCTTATGTTGGAGCCCAACATCGTATACCACGACAAGTCACCAGTGGTGTCGACCGACTCCGAGTCGGATTTCTTACCTTTTCTTCTTGTTGTGTGGGGTCTTGCTCTTCCTGGCGATTTAGTTGTTGCTCCTTCCGCGCACCGACTTGGTGCTGTGTCGGTTGGCAGTTGGTGGTTGGCACCGTTGAGAGGTTGATGCAAGTGTGCCTCCAGAACCCGGAAATTGCTCCTTACCGAGCATCCTGAGTTCCTTCTCACCCTAGTGTTTGGCTCTGCAGTGAAGGGTCTTCTGCAAAGGCCAGCGGGGCAAAGGCACCTGCCGTCGGGGCACGTCGCCTCTACAATGCTCTACGGAAGACTTATAGAAGACTTCATGATGTCACGGACCTGGGGATGTTGCCGGGACAGTACGCATTGAGGTCGGGTTGTCAGCGACAGCCAGGCTTTGCTCGAGCACCCGATACCGTGAAGAGCGGTTGCCCGGAAAAGCACTGCAACCTGGACCTTTTGCAGGGCTTGAGTTGTCGCTGCCCTGTTTTCGCGGCTTTCGGGGGCCTGGCCCTGTCCGAGCCGGCCCCGTTACCACAACAGCGGGATGAATCGGGTCTTGCTTCCCTTCGTTGACCGTTCGGCAGGATTTTTCTCAGCAAGGTTCTGCGGGTTTGCCCCTCGTCGACTGCACCCGCGGGCTTTCACTGTTGAGCCGTAGCTTCCAAAGCACAGAAGGCGAAGACTGTGCACATGTCAGAGCAAGTTGATGCTTCCCGTGCGTTTTCGATGCCCTCAATCGAACAGCCACCTCCTTGAATTTGGAGCTTTGCTACTACTCTGCTTTGGTGTCTTGTTGCTCCCTTCATCTCCTTTTTGACTTTGTCGAAGTCTTCTACCGCGGCCCAAGCGGTTTTGGCCATGGCCTTCCACGCGTAAAGAAAATCATGGTGATTGTGTGATGGCTTTTGTGTTGCGTTGGCTGTACATCCTTAGGCATCCCAGGCACGCTGTTGATTGCACAGCACCGCTCGACTTGGAAGCTCGGGAAGGGGACCGATCCCGGAGCCTCTATTCCAAGGCCTGGTGGTGCCACAGGGCAAGGCACAGGGTATCGAAAAAGGAGGATCGGTTTGATAGTGAATCCAAAGGCCGCCAGTGCTGGGCCAAGCGAGCACAGCCTGCAATCCCCTCCCAGCTTAGTGCGCTGTTGAGTACAATTACTGGTTAGAGTGGACTTATCCTAGGCCCTTGACGAAACATCCAGGGCTTGAATCAAGCTTTGCCAGTACCCTGCTAGTTCGACATGTGAGCTTCATTACGACCCATATTACGTACAACTGCGAAGACTCTTTCCGAGAAAGTGTCATTATGGAAACATTCCACAAGGAGGCCCATGCAACATATTTCCTTTTGAAAGCCTTCTTTTTGCGACCTTTATGAGATCACCAGTTGCCACGAAACCAAGTATTCCGGAACGTGCTTTCGACTAAAAGTGTGCGCACACTTGTCCTTTAAGTTATACGAACCCGTGTACACAAGATAGCCAAGTTAGCTGGCGTCAAGGGTCTCAGCTTGAACATGCAAGAAGAAGTGTCAAGTACAATCACTGGATCATTCAGTGAAAAGCAGATTGAAAGTCCACCATCAAGACGATCGAGCGCCTTTCAATAGCTCAACCAGCAACTCTTTTCCGTCAACGCGATGGTAGTTTACTCTCCTGTGATGTTCTGTTGTGGATTGATCCCTTCGTTTCGGCATTTTCTGTGTTAAGATAAGCTCTCTGGGACTCTGGGATGTCTGTGTTGTTTGGCTTTGCCTTTGATTGAGTCCTTTGGCCGCCTTGCTTCCCCACAACCGCGGCGCAAAAGGGTCATCCGCGGTTCCTAAGGACATGAAGATGTATCCTCTCGTCATTGCCAGTCCCGTGCCGGTTGGGATCCTGCGGCGCTCTCAGTCGAAGGTTCTTGTTGAAACTGTTAGCGGATGCATCGGCTTTATGCAGCTATCGAGCATTGTCGAGCTGACGAGCGCATCTCTGAAATCTAGAAGCTACGTTTCGTCTGCAAGTGATGGAGGCGTGTGACTTTGAAAGAAGCAACCTTGGACGAGAAAGCGATCACGCTGCCGGAGGTGGCTTCCGGGGGCTCCGGAGGGTGTGTGTGCGTCTGTGGCTAGATGGAACTGAACTCCAATATGGTGACGGCAGGAAGACGTTCTAAGTGGTTTCAGGTGGTATCCTGTCCTCCGGTCCAGGATCAGCAGCAGAAGAGGAAGAAGAAAGCCGGAGGACGGACGATTCCTGCGAAGCACGTTTGGCGTAGGGATGTTTTATGAGCTGCATTGCGCTGTCGCTGCATTGTGGGTCCGCTTTCTCAGTGGGGAGCCGCAATGCCTGATGGATGCAGGCGTGTTTTCTCGACTTCTGGGTCTCGGTGGCAAGGTCCGAAGACCTTCTCGCCTCAGAATTGTTTCTTCATGTGTGCGCACCCTTTGTGTTGAAAGTTTCTGTGGGCTTCTCTGAGTACGTCACATCAGCTCTGGAGTCCATCTGTTCAGTGTTGCGCCGAGTGACAGGCCTTTCAAGCCGTCTCCAATGGCTGGGAGAATGCCGAGGAGCGATGTGCTGCGCTGACAGGAATGTCTGATCAGATCAGGGCATTCTATGCGGGGGCTTCACTCCATGCGACCATCACATTCCGAAGGGAAGCCTGCAAAAGACGCCTGTGCAATGCTGAGGCCTATCAGTGCAAAAGCAGCTAGCAGTTCAGCCGTTCCTGTGCACACAGGGGTCACTGGAGTGGCTGCTCAATTGTCCAGCAAAGCAAGTCTGGCACCACAGCAGCACTTACACTTGCTTTGCCAGGCCGGGGTTCGGCGTAAGCGCCGCGATTGCTCCATGCACCCCATAACCACAAGCCATCATAGTTTGCTGCTTCGCTGCCTGGGAATTGCAGGCCAGCTTGCACAGTGCAAGCACGAGACTGATCAAACCAAGCCAAGTCATGCGAACCAACTTCCTTCATCTATGCCGACATCGCATGTCCTTGAAAAGTCCATTGACACTCCAACAGGAGGTAAACCACAACAATCACAAAGGCTCTTGCACCACCCTCCATCGCAACCCTGCGTGGTGGAGGCACATTGCAAGCCATGCGATAGCCCTTGCCTGTGAAGCAACGTCAGATTCAAGGGAAAATACAACTCACTGCATGGTGCAAGCCCTCAAGGCAGTATACGATGCCCGGCCGGGCGGGCAACGTGTCTGCTGCATGCACCCCATGACCATCCGGAGCCCTTGCAGGGCTACAGTAGGAAGCACCAAGAGCTTTTCTCCGCTGGCCGAATGTGGTCATCATATGTGCACGTGTCATATCGCATGCATTCGAAGCAACACTTTCGTGTTTTGCGTATGATATTCAAGAGAGTAGATTCTTTACTACATACAAAAAACAATGAGAGCCTGAAGTGTTGGTATGACTGCGAGGAGTGGGTGGAGAGGCAAGTTGGCATGGACCTTGGTGGTAATGAGTTTCCTGATATATGTTGAAGTCAGAAGTGCCTGTTCTTGCACGCACTATTGTTTTAACCCATGCCGGCATTGCCTGAAGACGCAGAGTCGTGCCGGAGACGGCATCAGAGTTTAGATGCTTCAGCTCAGGCCAAGCTATGGGCATTGAGACGGCGCCATACATGAGGTGGCCACTTGTCTACAATTGCCAGACGGCAATCGTCTTCGCGGTCATGTCTGGCATTGCCAGCCCGGGCAAGCCTTGTTCATTCTTTGCAGAGACATTTAGTGCAGATGGCTTGTTCACGTTCTTGCACTTGACGGGCACGACTTCTTGTTCATCTGAGCCCGTGCATGTCACTGGGTAAGGAAAATTGGGAACCAAGTTTGGCTTCCCGATTTTCGAGTCACCGGAGCTGGAAACCCAGAAGGGAGGAGTCGGTATGAGCATTTTGTCATGACCATGACGGTGCACAGCGTTTGATTGTCCCGAAAGCTAACTGCTTGGAGTCTGCGGGATCTGTTTACAACCTTTCTGGAGGTGACAACATTCTTTTCGGTATCTTAGGGATTTAAGGTTACGGGGGTGGGGGGGGGGGTGTGGGCGCAAGGCCCGACCCCTGCTGACCTCCTCAGTCAGGCGGCGTCACTGTACGGGCCCAACCACCCCCCCCCCCCCTTGCGCCTGCAGATTGTGCCTCAACGTAGGGATGCTGCGACAGAAGTTGCACAAATACTGTAAAAAGCCCTGCTCTCAAGTTGTAATCTGACAGCACTTCTGGGCTGGTTCATGTAGCTGCTGAGGAAGAGACGGATACCTTCAATTTCGTGATCTATGATCCCGCTCCTTGTCTTCCATATGTTGATGTAAATTGCAAGCCCCATGGATTCGTGACATAGTGTCTGTATCTCCCATAGCCGCAGTTCCGGTGTTGTCCCTAAGCCTTCAAGCCCAGGAACAGCACTTGAACGTCACCCTTTGGGATCGTGACCTGTTGAGCCCCGTGGCTCATGAGTTGGCATGGGTTGGGCTATGGGCGAGCCGCGCAGCACTGGGTGGGGTGTGGTTAGGGGCCAAACCCTAAACCCCCAGAATCCCTAAACACCCAAACCCTAGACTAGAACATACCAGAACCATAAACCCCAAAACAGAACCCATACCTACAAACCTGAAATGCTTAAGTCCGAAAATCCACAAACCTTATCTCTCTAAGACCCTAGGCCCTAAACGTTCACCCCAAAATGCAAAAGCACATGCAAACATACAAACGCCAGCAAGAACGCATTAGGAGTTTCTGCATCATGCCATCTTACAGTTTTATCTGCAATGAACAGCAAGGATGATGCTGTGAGAGACCCACTGCGACTGCAACCCACCAAGCTCGACACCAGGCCAAGATGATCTCATGGGTGAGGCGCACCCTGTGGCTGCTGTCAAGGCGCCTCAGACAAGAATACCGCAACCAGCTAAAGCCCCAGCACCGTCCAGTTCTGGACTGTTTCATACTGCATATCAGGTCTCTGAGTGTTGCTGCCTTGTAAGTGGACATGTTGCGAGCGACCAAGAATGAATGGAAGTGAGATGGGCTGATTGCAAGCTGCTTTGGCATCCGTGAGCTCCTGGACAGGCGGTGCATCTATCGGAGGATTATGTGCCTCTCATATGCCCAGGTGGATCATCGCAACAGCTTTTCGGGGTGCTTGCATGGAGGAGAATTGCGACATTTGTAGAATGAGTTTGGTGGAGGGCTTGCTTTCAACATGGAGTTGGGCTTTCTTGAGCTGGACACTGCTCAGGGGCCGAAGAAGAGACTCGGCAAGCTGGGACCTTCAAGGCGAAGGCAGGCTTCCAGTGACTGAACACTGTCAGACTGTGTCTCCGGTTTGGAGGATTCGCGTTGCTTCTTGCATCAGGCAAGGATAGCAAAGATAGGTGCAGGCCTCTAACCAGTGGATGCCAGAGTCATTGAATGTGGCCAGAAACCTGTGATCACCTTGTACTCAAGACTGGGTCACACAGGTTTAACCCCAGCGTCTTGTGACCGTTTCGTTCAGAAGGTGGGTTTGGGCTTGGGCCTGGCCTTGGCCTTGCCCTTGGCCTTGGGGCCTTTAGGCCTTTAGGCCTTTGGGCATTTTGGCCTTTGGGCCTTCGGGCCTTTGTGACTTTGGGTCTTTGGGCCTTGAGCCCTGGGTAGGCCTGAGCCTTGGCCTTGGGCCCTGGGCCTTGGGCTCGGGCCTTGTTTCTTTCGATTTTACTGTCTCCTGTCCCACTATTCGTTGCGACCAAAGCAGCCACTAGCGGCGTAGATGTTATGCACTACTTTGACCCTGTGCAGGCTTCCCTGATAGCGTTAGTTGATGATGATTAAAGGTCATCATCAACACCTTCCCAACCCTAGGGCTTCGTGGTTTTGGACACGCGTTGAAAATTCAAAATTCTCAGGATTCAAGGAAGTGAGCTGGCGAAGAGAACTTTTGATGTCCCTGAGGCTTTAGCACTAGCCACAACACAGCAGATTTCGCAAGTCTAAATGAGATACTAGCTTTGGAGATCCACAAGAGCTGCTGATGCTATACGGCTGCGGCAACCAAAGCCTATCATGCGGGATTCCGCACTTTGCACTTGAATTGAAACTTTTAAGGGTGTTGTGCACTTGTCATGTCATTGCTGTGCAGACTTGTGGCAATCTAAGCATTTTGCACCCGTGGCAGATCGAGCTGCTGATCACCTCGCCTGGTCAACGAAGCCGCGATGGCTTTGTCTCGCGGCTTCAACATTTAATGTTTCGCAACGTAACGGTTTCCTTGGCATTCCAGGATGCATTTACCAGAAGCCGTTTTTCAAGATCGATTATTTCTAGGGAGCGGGAGGGGGTTAGGGTGAGGAGGGTGAGGAGGGTGAGAAGGGTTCGCCTTTTCTATCTTTAGGTTCTTTGGCAGCGGACAGAGGGAGGGCAGGAGGGCAGAAGGGACGGAAGCAAGGAGGGAAGGAACCAAGGAACCAAGGCACCAAGGCACCAAGGAACCAAGGAAGCAAGGAAGCAAGGAAGCAAGGAACCAAGGAACCAAGGAACCAAGGGAGCAAGGGAGAAAGGGAGCAAGAATCCAAACAACTAAGCAAGGAAGGGGTAAGGCAGGAAGGCAGGAAGGCAGGGAGGCAGGGAGGCAGGAAGACAGGAAGGCAGGAAGGCAGGAAGGCAGGAAGGCAGGAAGGCAGGAAGGCAGGAAGGCAGGAAGGCAGGAAGGCAGGAAGGCAGGAAGGCAGGAAGGCAGGAAGGCAGGCAGGAAGGCAGGAAGGCAGGCAAGAAGGAAAACATGAAGGTCCTAGACCCTTCGCGATAGCACACACGAACAAATCATGGACACAGCAAGAAAAAGCATGCATAATGACCAAAAGGGTGGGCCGACAAGGATCTGTCTCCAGAACACGCACCCCTGGCACGAGTACTGTTACGCTTGTGCTTATGTTTTTGCTAATGTTCTTAGTGTTAGACGCGAGCCGATGAAAGAAGTTTCGGCACCTTCCATTGCACAGGTTTGTGTGGTCCGCGTGCGAGAGCTGTTGCAGGATCTGGGCCTTGTGAAACACATGCGCTGATACAAGCCTCTGCACCACAATGTCCCTTCTTTGCTGATGCACCTGCAATGGGCAGCTTGCCGGATGCATCTGGCTCGCGTGTGTGCATAGTGTTTGAATGATTTACTTAGTGTTCTCTTTGTACGCCTGTGCAGGACGGTTCTCGGATGAAGGTCCAGTGCTCAACCGCTTGGGCTTTCGTAGCGGGCGAACAGCAGTTCGCATCGGCAAGGAGAGAGAGACAGAGAGAGAGAGAGTGTTTGTATTCTTTCGTATGGATGTTGTCACAATGCAGAAGCTTGGCTGCTCAGGGTCGTCGCATCGCGTTGCGGGCAAAGCTCAAAGACGATTCTAGCATCACAAAGGCAGCGGTGATGATCTTTGGTGTCAATCCTTTCAGTACATGGCAAAGCGAGACCAACCTTCATCAAGCCCAGAGCAAACCACAGCCTGCATGCTGAAGAGCCTTAAAGCACAGCACAGACATTCAGGAGTGACATGGGCAAGAGGGTGCGATTCCAGACTGGAGAAGATATCTTTTGCCAGGCTGGTGCACCGATGCTCGACATCACTGAGACGTTGCCTGCAAAGGTCCCCATCTCAGTTCCTGCCAAGTCCTAGGCCTGGTGACCTAGCGCCTGCAGTGCAGCTTCATCAGGGCCTCGGAGAGATCCGCCATTTCTCGCCCTGGCATGCCAGTGCCATTCATTTCGTCCCAGCTGCGGTGCCTTCCAAGGCCATGCTGCAGAAAATCAAGGACAACATGACGGATGCAGGCCCGGTGCCACCAGGGTGTTGACCAGGGTGTTGACCAGGGTGTTGACCAGGGTGTTGACCAGGGTGTTGACCAGGGTGTTGACCAGGGTGTTGACCAGGGTGTCCCTCCAAGAGTGCTAGTGTGTGCTAGTGGCATCTACAGCCAGCCGCATTCCCATCAGCTCGACCAAGATCCCAAGGTCCAGCCCAGGTGTTTCTTCGATTTTCTCAAGACATGTCCAGTCTGATCTTCCGCCTTTCCATTAGATTACCTGGGAAAGGTAAAAAATCCCTGGTAAGGTCTGCTTGAAGCAGGCCGAAGGCCTGCTGAAAGCAGTTGACCTGCTAAGGAGTGAACTACGAAGGTAAAAAAACACTTAAGTTTATGGGTGGCTTCGAAGAAGCCACCCTTCTGACCCAGCACCAATGGGAAGCGAAGCTTCCCATTGGTGCGTGGTAGAGGTTTTGACCAGCTCAGGACTGGAGGTCGAAGACCGCCTGCTAAGCAACTACCGGAAGGAAATATTTCAAGCACTTGCCTGCTTGCTCGTGGGTCCTTGCCAGGCGTGGAAGCAGATAAGATCGAGCAGGCCAGGGAAGTAAAGTACAGTATTCACTTGCGAATGGCGTTGACCAGGTTTTTGGCTGCTGTGTCTTTGGGGATATGGTATATATACATTGCACGTTCACACTTTCACTATTTTTTGACTAGCTTGTCCAGGGCCGCGCGCACTGGATGCTGGAGAAAGCTATAACTGTTCTGCAGCATTCGTTGGCAGAAGACTTGTTCTCTCCAAAGCGGCCAAAGTCCTGACACGGACTCCGAAGATATCAGACGCTGGTGACCAATTGCTGTTTCATCAGCTCCGTGTTCAGGAGCTTAGTCCTCGTAGAGGTTTAGGAAGCCTTTAGAAAATCACCAGAAGGAAGTGCAGGTTCACAGGTCTTACCTGGATGTTAATGGCGGGAGATGTAGAAGCCAAATGGGCTAGAGATACTGTTTGGGGACATTGTTTCGCTGCCTGCGCTCTTCTCCTCGCCGTGCACATGTCAGGATTGAAGTGCAAGACTGTGCAAAAGACTGTTTTGTCGCTTTTGGGTCTTGGGTCGCTCTCCCGTGTGCGACTCTTGTGATGTGCCGTGTTCCCCTTCCTGTGCCCTCAATGTTCTTTGCAATGCCCTCCAGGGCCATGATGAACACACAATTTGCCCAACAGTTGCACCGCAGGTGTTGTTCTTGTCCTTTAAGGGGTCGTTGCTTATCTAGGCTTCATGTGGCAGAACCCGAACATGTTTCAGCCAGATATGGTGCTTCAGTACCCTGCGATACATGCAGGTTTTAGATCTGACGTCTTTGCGGGCCTGTCGATTTGCGATCAACAGGTCCTTGCAGCTGGGCCGTGATGGGGCTGTGATTGTTTCATGCAGAGCATAGGATGTAGGAGTGTTGTGTTGTCCATTTGGGCATGCCATGATGGTGACATTCTGGACGAGTTGTTGTGCATTTCGAGGCATTTTGTCGTCACGAACGACGACACCGAGAAAGAGGACCTCATCCTTGAATTAGCATCTTGTCGGCAAGCTGGGTCCTGAAACCCATTCCACCACCGGAGCTAGCATATTGTGCAATGCTCGGCCAGGTGGACATGGACAAGCTGGACGAGCTGCATGGACGCTTTAAGTTTGATGACATGATGTTGGCCTGCATTCCAGTGCTGTCACAGCACTCCTCGCACACAGCTTGTCCGAATTTAAGTGCAAGATGCTCTCTGCAAATCGGTGTTGCTTGCCCTGCTCAAGACAAGGCTCAAAAAGGAGGCTGCAAAGAAGAAAGGTGTTTTCGGAGGAAGCACGTCTCCTTCTCCTGCATCCAACGTGGCTGCTTCTGATGAGGCCCGCACATGCTCCCTGCGTCATGCACACGCAAGATCCTTTGCATCAAAATGCAACTATATAGAAATCCTGAACAGACTGAATGCCCTGCGAGAGCTGTGCATGCTTGCAACTTTCGAAGGGAGAGGAGGTTCTGGCGTCTTTGACAGCTTCTTGGATCATCTTGGATTTCTGACCTCGGAGTCGGTCAGAGAAGCGCAGCAGATGCGGCAGCAGCAAGAAGGACAAAAGGACAAACACAGGAGTGTAGAATGCATCGGTGAGTTCTACCGGCCAGCAGATGTCTCTCTCCTGGCTAACCGTTTACAAATCTTTTACACCTGTTTCACACCTGTTTACAACATTCTACAACCCTGTTGGCTGCAGTGAAATTTGACGGTCCTCTGTAAGTGGTGTCAAGAAGCCCGAAAGATCCAAGGTTCCGCTGTCTGAAGTCCTTGCTGCCGAAGGCGCTTCCTCCTGGCGTCTATACATCTCTGTACATTCAGCCGTCCTCCACACCGCTGTGAGCACTGTTTCTCATTCCCATGACTGTTTGCTTGGAGGTCTTGCACTTCAAGGCCCTTTCAGATTTGAGACTGAAAAGTTGGGAACCATTGAAGTAGCAGTGCTGCAAAGAGAAGACCTCGGAATGTCTTGTGAGGGTTTGCTCGGTTCATGGCCGTTGTACCCTGGTGGTAAACGATTTGCAGGATGCCACGGGCATGAAAGGCATCAGATGATTTGCTGTTTTGCTGTGTGAGAAGCCGAGGCAAAAATGTTCGTGGGTTTGCGGCTCGCCTGCACTTGGAGTACCGTGCCATTCTGGGCGGTCAGGTTTAGCGAGACCAGCAGACGAGCAATTAGCATTCTGGGCACTGCAGTCTCGGAGTCTCTGTGTGTGTGTGTGTGTGTGTGTGTGTGTGTGTGTGTGTGTGTGTGTGTGTCTGCGTGTGTCGCGACCATTGCAGGAGTGGGCTGGAGCCGACCACGACGGACATCATAGAAGAAATGACTGTGCAACTTGTCCATACACTGCTGCTGAGAATCCTAAGGTCCTAAGCGCTTGCAGTGCAAAAACGTTCTTTTTGCAGTCATATGTGGGCCCGTAAGACCCGTACACTCGAACTTGGTCCTCTAGGGCCGTACACTCGGACTTGGATCTGGGGGACTTGGCTCTCTGGTAGTCGTTCCTTTTTGAGAGCTCTTCCTTTTGTGCTTCAGGTACATCGTCGAAGCAGCGTATCTCTATGTAAACTAGTGCAGTCAGTATGCTTCTCGGTATGGAAGCTGAACAGCCCCATTTATCAGGAAGACATTGCAAATTGGCACGTGGGTTCCTTGATTTGGGATTTGTGTAGTTCACTTTCAGGGGGAATGCCGAACTGGACATTCCGAAAGCCACATCAAGCAGTAGCGCTACTGGTAGCATGGTGTATACGGCCGGGTGGAGCTGTAGTGTAGAAAGTCGCTTCCCAATTGCTAGCTGAATGCAGGGACGACGCGATGGCAGACATGGAGCTCGATGCGCAGCACGCCAGTTTCTAGTGAGCTATACACGAAAGGCTGATCACTCATGTGCTTCAGGCAATGCCTTGGCACAAGCGTGTTGAGATGTGTTGAGTGCGTTAGCAGATCACTTTCTTTTTTGGCAGGCGAATGTGAAAGCTGATTCAGTTTGGCTTTGCTGTGTCATCTCGCACGGTCAATCCTTTCATTCCTGCTCGTGGGCTCTGCGGACTCGATCCAGACCCATGTTTCGATTTCGAGTTCGTACATACGTACCCATACGTACCCCTCGTGGAAGTCTCCAACCATCTCGCTGCTCCGAAGGAGATCTCGGTTTGTGTAGAGATGGTCCCGCAAAGGAGCAAAGGATGCTGTTGAGAGGACACTGTTCCGATCTTCCGCGGATGGCAGCGATTCTCAGGCTCCAGGCTGGATGGTGTTCATCCATTTTCATCCAAAGCCTGAGATGTGTTCTCGTCGGCGAGACTGCCAATTACGGTCCTACGGTGGCTTCTAGATCCTCAGCACCTGCCAGCCATCCAAGCCAATGTATCATCGGGGGCAGCAACAGTACTCATCATTGTGGTAGCAGCAAGGCTGTGTGGTTCAAAAGCGCAGGTGACGTCCTTCTCACAGGCAACCACTGAAAAACTCAGTCATGCTCTTTTTGGCAGGACTCCAAAACATGTCAATATCCATGCAAACTGTCCTGCCAGATCTTTGAGGGGCAAGGGCCTTCCGATGAAACATTCTGGAGCATAAGGTCTTTTTTCGTGCTCCACGTCACGTCTCACCACACTTTGGCTTGCAAGCCTACCTGGTACCTCCAGCCGTGGAGCTGCATTTCCAGGTGGCACTGGGTAGGAGCTTCTTGCTGCGCGCCCAGAAACGCATTGCCAGATGCAGCATCGCAGCTTCAGCTTCTTGGAGTCTTAGAGAGTCACAGCGGTGTGCAGAGTGTCGGCTTGGCTTGCCGTGACCTTCATGTTCCCGCAGTGGTGAATCACTTGCAATGACCAGGACTCATCTGTGACGTGATGGTGGCAAGTTTGTCTGAGTAGAATATACTTGTCTGAGTATGCGTTCATGCGCTCACAAAGGTCACCCATGCCTGAAGACCGCCACATCCAACTGATACACACACACACACACACACAAGTACTTATCATGCTGGCATGAAGCTGTCGCTCTGTGTGTGTGTGTGTGTGAGCGCCCTTTGGGCATGGAAACTGCCTAGAGCACAGAGCACAGCTTTAGCTGAAATGTCTTTGGGGAGGGAGGGGAGCGGGGCTGCAAAGGGTTCTCACGACCCCTAGCCGCCCTAGCCAATGTGGGTGACGATTTGATCGCCAGGCTGCAAGAGAATTTGCAGCTGCTTCGTGATGTGGAGGCGGGCTGCATAACAGTGGTTTTCTGGTACGCCGCTCGATGTGAGACACTACGCAGTCATTTGCAAGCTCTTCCGCTGGCTACTTGGTGGTTTGTGTGTCAGGCAAAAAGTCAATCTTCTCTCGATGCCGCGCGGGCAAAGGAGCCGTTGAAGATGACCCATGGAGAAGTTTTTGATGCAGTGTACGACCAAGTCAGCTTCAGACCGATTTCAGCGGCTTGCAGCGTCAGCTGTACTGAGCTTAGCGTGGAGATGCAGCATTGTTGACTCAAAGCTGTGCAGACTCGATAGGAGAAGCGCCACTCAGGGGACTTCCTGAAGCTCAAAAATGTGTGCCACCCAATGTATTGTTCCGGCAGCTTTCGCAGCTGCAGAGCGTGAGATGCTGTCTAAAAGACTGCCATCCATTTTCAACAGCCGGTGGTCAGAAAACAAAGTCCTCCGTACAGTAGATCTATTTAATGGCTACCGCCAATGCCGCCAACCCCGACAGGAGGCCCTAGGGTTTACACAAACACCCCCTACATTGCGCTTACATATATCCATAGGTTCTAGAGTTCAGGGGGGGCGAAACATTGAGTTCACGCGCAGGGAGTTGGCGCGCAACCTTAAACCCTAAACCTCACACCTTAAACTCGAAACCCTGAACCCTGAAACCCCAAACTACTAAACCCTCAACCCCCTTAACCAGGAGAGCCGAACCGGGGTGAGGTGGGGGGTAAGCGGTGATGGCGGGGGGGTGGGGGGGGGGTGGGGGCAGAGGTGAAGGGGTGAAGGGGGGGGGGGGGGGGGGGTTCGGGCATGCACTGGAGCTTCAGTGCATGCCCTTTCCGGCCCCCTGTTTGCCCGCCCACTGCCCCCAACCTTGGCCCCCACCCCCCCCCCCCCACCCCCCCCGCCCTCACCCCACCTCACCCCTACCCCTGACCTTTTACTTGCAAATGAAGTGTGTCAGGGGTTTAGGGCATGCCCGGACCCCTACCCCCCACCTCACCCCTACCCCTTGCCTTTTACTTGGAAATGAAGTGTTTGAGGGGCCCCTCACACTTCATTTCCAAGTAAAAGGCAAGGGGTAGGGGTGAGGTGGGGGGTAGGGGTCCGGGCATGCCCTAAACCCCTGACACACTTCATTTCCAAGTAAAAGGTCAGGGGTAGGGGTGAGGTGGGGGGGGCAAGGTTGGGGGCAGAGGCGAAGGGGTGAGGGCGGGGTGGGCGGGGTGGGCGGGGGGGGGGGGGGATGCGGGGGGGGGGTCCGGGATGCACTGGAGCCCCTCAAACACTTCATTTCCAAGTAAAGGCAAGGGGTCCGGGCATGCCCTAAACCCTGACACACTTCATTTCCAAGTAAAGGTCAGGGGTAGGGGTGAGGTGGGGGGTAAGGGGTGAGGGCGGGGGGGGGGGGGCCAAGGTTGGGGGCAGAGGCGAAGGGGGGGGGGGGGGCGGGGGGGGCGGGGGGGTCCGGGCATGCACTGGAGCCCCTCAAACACTTCATTTCCAAGTAAAAGGCAAGGGGTGGGGGTTGTGAAAGTGCAATAAGGGCATGCCTGACCTGTCGTGTCTCGATTGTTGATGGGCCGATTTGTCTTGTGAACGTTCAGCCCGTTCACCGAAGCTTTGCGGCTCTCGGTAGCTTGGCGAAAAGGATGGCGCGTCCTTTGGGCTTTTGATTTGGCGGTGATCACTAGGCCAGTGATTCGCATTGGTGCCGCGGAGCAGGGTGAATGGCAACTATCCCTGATGCCGGCGATCAGCAAGGGCCGAGCGATGGCGGCCCTCGACTACCTGGTGATGATCACCGTGGTGTGGCTTGGCAGTGGCAAAGCTGGTGGAGCTATCCAGCTACGATGGGATGGCATGGCGCGATGTGGAATGGTCAAGCGACCTGGAGACCAGGAGATTGGCAACAGCAACGGCAAGGCTGGTGGGGAAGACCTGACTCATGGCAGCAACAGCCAGGGGAGTCGCGGTCTAGTTGGCCAGGCGATCTGGATGAAACCAGTGGCGAGGGAGAAGCAAGACAAGCCGACGATGGTGCCAATGGAGGACCGGGACATAGGAGGGCGTCTGTGCAGTCATCGACAGAAGCCACATTTCCCTCCGACGAATTGGAGGGACACGACGACATCGAGAACCACAAGGGCAGCGACGCCGGAAGCAGCCAGGCCTCTAGGAATCCAAAGACGGGGAAGGATCACATACCGGAGTTTTCGGGGTTGACAGCCATGCGTGAGTATGAGAGAAGGGTGCGATTGTTTGAGAGCAGTACGGGGATTGACCCATCGTATCGTGCTCAGAAGCTGATGGAGAAGCTCTCGGGTCAGGCCTGGTTGGCGACAGAGTCAATCGACCTTGACTTCTTGAAACTCTTGAGCACCTGAAGATCTTCACTACCCTCACCGAGTTCTACAAGGACTTCAGACGTGGTGCTGGGCAAGAGTTCGTTGCGTTTGACCTCGAGTTCCGAGCTCACCTAAAACGTCTTGAGGAGATTGGCGGCAAGATCGATGGGGTGACCAAGGCATACTGGTTCTTGGAGAAGGCAGGACTCTCGATGGACCTTCGTAAACAAGTGGTGGCTGCGGCAGGGGGTGAGTATGAGTACACCGTGTTGAGGAAAGCGCTCATGGCCATCGTACCGAAGGTTCGCAAGGACGAGGACCTGAACCACCTTCCATGAAGAGACGGGGCAGGCATCCGAGAATGCTAGCGAGCTTGAGGGGGAGCTAGAAGTGCTGCTCACGCAGGCAGCTCGAAAGCGGGCAGAGATCGAGAAGGCCAGGGGCTTCGCGAAGACGGAGAGCTCTCAGGAGAGGGAGCAGAGAATCAAGCAGATGAAAGCTAAGATGCCATGCAGTGCCTGCAAGGCTCATGGGAAGACCGTGTATGGGCACTGGCACAGTGATGTGACGTGCCCGTACAACAAGAAGAACCAGGACAAGAGTGTTTTGGCTGTTGTTGAGGAACAGTTGACCGACAGTGCGAGTGATGACGAGGAGTTTGGGCCCGATGGTGAACCGGAGAACGAAGATGTCTTCGTTTGCATCGAGGAGAGCTGTGTGCTGCAGGAAGTATGTGGAGATCAGAAGGCCTTCCGAGGCGCACGAGACCCACTCAAATATGTCATGGCTCTCAGTGACACATGCTGCGCAAGGACAGTGGCTGGAGAGCGATGGATGCGGAAGCACATGCATCACCTGCATGCTATGCACGAAGATGTCTACATCGTCGACGAGGCCCGTCCTTTTCGTTTTGGAGGGGGACCTCGAGTGATGTCGTCCTATGCAGCCATCATACCTCTGCACCTACAGGGAGCAGAAAAGGCTGTGCAATTGAGAGTGAGCATTGTCGACCAGGACGTTCCTCTCTTGCTGAGCAAAGCGGTGTTGAAGCACCTTGGCGCAGTCATGAACCTTGCAGAGGGAACCGTGAGATTCGCCGAGTTGAACACCACAGTTCAGTTGAGGGAAACCAAAACGGGACTCTGCGGCTTCGAGATCAACAAGACAAAGCCCCAAGCCCACAGGCGTTTCGGAGAACCGGTGCTTCAAGGTGAAGATGAAATTATCGTGGGAAACAGCCCGCAGGTCATGCAGAACATCATGAGTGTCAAGACGGGCAACTCACCGGAGCCTCCTTTCAGTGGGAACCCGAGAAGTCTTCGACAGGAGTGTGAAGAGTTTGCCAAGTCCCTACTGCGTAAAAAGGATTTCACATACCAAGCACTGCTCGAATTGGCGAGGCATCTACCAACTGGGCATGGACTACGACATCGAAATGCGGCGGGAGGCAAAGGCCCGATTAACTTGCCTTGGATTGGTGGATTGTATGTGCACGGGAACAAATGTGACCTTACGAAGAAGACAGTGAGGTATCCCAATGTTGTTCGGTATATCAATACTTTCATGCGAGACAAAGTAGATCATCCTTGGACGTCCTTCTACCTTGCCCGTGATGTTCACATGAAAATGCACATGGATTCAAACAACCGGAAGGGAAGCAAGACGACCTCGGTGACCTTCGGTCAGTTCCAAGGAGGTGAGCTATGGGTAGAGCTAGGGCATGACGAGGATCCTTCAGCATCACATGTCGTATGGAAACAGGACAACAATGGGATATCCCGACCTGGAAGATTGACATCCACTTTCCAGAATCCTCGAGAGTTTGATCCGCATTTACGGCATGCTACACATGAGTGGACCGGAGAACGATGGTGTCTGTCGGTCTATAGTGTTCGCGAGACAGCCGAGGTGGATGAGATCTGTTGGAAGGTGCTCGGCAAGCTGAAATTTCCATGTCGTGGCAAGAATCGATCCAGGACCTTTGGGGAGCATAGAGAGCATGAGCCAGCTTTCATGTCATCTCAAGACCGAGAGCCGCTTCATCAGAGCAGGGATGACGTGAGCGAAACTCCGCAGCGTTTTCTGTTTGAGACCCAGCTGGAGCCCACGCCTGTAGATCTTGAAGAAGGGTGTAAGCTCCGGGATGAACAGTGTGAAGATCCCAGCGCCGAAGCGCAAGGAGGATTTCGTGCAGGCCATTGCGGCAAGGTGTCAAGTCAAGGAACCGGATCTCCGACAGCACACCACCGATCGCTTGAAGGAGATCTGGGCTGCGCTCAAGCCCAAGAAGTACAGTGTCCTGCCGGCAAACTGGAGGAAGTTGGATGTGGAGACACTGAAGCAGTTGTATGCCGAGAAGGCAGCGACGGATCTCGGGAGGGATCTGGACGGGCACTGGAGCCGGTGGAAGCGCAGCGCCCTGATCTTGGAGCTGGAGATGTGGGTGATCCAAGTGGAAGAGGCCCAGCTGCTCGACGATCAATGCGATCATCCACACCCAGTGTGCCCAACCTGCAAGATACCGATGATGGTCCGAACAAACAGGTTGTCGCGACAGGACTTCTACGGATGCCTCCGCTTCCCCAACTGCAAGTGCACATTACCAATGATGTACGACGGGAAGCCGACCAAAGATGTGCAACAGGAGATGGAGCTCCGAAGCCTATGAACGGAAAGCGAGGACCAAACAGTTTGGGAACATCGTCGGATGGTTCTTGGGCAAGGGCCGAAGCGATCCCAGTGGACGACGAGACGGGGAGCGACCAGGAGAAAGTCTTCAATACGAACGTGTCCAAAGACGAGCTCCAGATGATCATCGAGAAGCGGAATGCGAAAGATGGAGCACCGACGGACAAGAAGGATCACGCCTGAGCAGCCTGAGTGTCGAAGATCAGGAAGATGCTCCGGAAGACCGGCAGCCTCTGGACCCTAAGGAGGTTCGTAGCCGCATCAAGGTGGGTCAAGCTAGGAGGGCTCACTTGAAGAAAGGGG